GAGCCCAAAGCTTGCAGGAAGCTCCTGAATTTCCTTTTGGGTACAGTTTTTGGGAACATGACTGAATCTGCTGCTCGCTGCTCTCATTCTCATTTCTTCCCAGTACCTTGGGGCCTACATAGTCTTTAACATAATTAAAGAGTATCAGGGTAGAGCTATTATCGCTGCCTCTGTCTGCACTGCAGGACAGATGCACTCTGTGACATTCCTCTCAGCTGCCCGGGTTGGTGACCTACTGAAACTCGATGGAGATCCTCTTTTTTTTTGCCTTCATGCACTGTTGTTACCCTAAATAACACTGAACTAGGTGAGCCCCCTGTTTCTGACGCAGCTGAGAATTTTGTAATTCTCTCTCTTTTTGAGGAAGTTGTTATTAAAATGTGACAAAGGACAGTGGGGAAAATGTTGCTTCTGCTACCTGGTGCATTTCACAAAGCTGTGCTTCAAACATGTATCCAATAATGTGTTATTAGTACTAAAACACATACTTTTTCTTATATTTTTGATGTTTACAATCCTCTCCTCCCTTCATACCCCATTTAAGATAATCTCTACCTTGCCCTTTAAAAAAACAACTTACACAAGCAAGATGTGGGAACTTGATATAATAGAGGATGGAACACACAGTTTGCCTCTGAAACTAGCAGTTATATTGTGATGTATAGAAAATCACAGGTGGAAATTTTTTTTTAAATTATTTTTCTTGTGGGAATAAGCACCTGTGAAAAATTATGTAACTAGGTGAAGCTGTATCAGATTTTTAAACCAGATTTCTCATCTTTAATTTTGCAGCTATCTCTGGCCTTTTCTACACTGAAAATGCATAATATCCCCTAACAATGCATTTGCTTCCCTTGCTTGAACTATTTCAATATAATGTTTGCTCCGTTTATGCCACTGAGAGTTCTGCCTGTTATTTTAATTTTAATATAAACACTGATCTGTGTGGCTAAAATGAAATGAGGCAGTGGACACAAGATTAATTCTTCTGATGCAGTGACACTGATATTATTTAAAGATGTGGCAAATTGAGCACATTTTTCTGTAGGATCCTCTGAATCCTTCAGAGATAGGTGGTCACATTCACTCTGCAATTAACTATGAACCTGCAAATGTTTAGATGGTTGGCAAATAGATCCACAGGTTCTGGGCACTGAAATCCCTTAGAAATCCTGGCCTTAACTAGCTATTGCATAGAAACAATTACCAAAGTAAAGATGCTTTCCTGCTCTTGCTTACTCCTCTTTTCTTTCCATGTTTGCTCAAATGCACATAATGAGTAAAAAGAAGTTATTTACTTATAAGATATTAATCTTAAATTATAACTGCAAATCACTATTCTCATTAGTAGGAAATTAAGACCAATAATTTAAGTATGTTTTAAAGTTATTGTATTAACTAAATATGCAAAATAACTGTATTTAAAAAATCAGTTGTCCAGGTGTCTCTCTTCTGAAAGATGGAATCCCTAAGACATATTTCAATAGATTGCTGTGATTTTAATTTAAACAGTAGCTTTTTTCTTTTAAGTCAGGCAAGCTTTAATTAAATAGCAAGTTCTATTTTACAGGTAGGCAATGCATGTTCAAGTTGAACTTGTTCTTGTTTATGGTGGAAGCCTGAACACTGTTTTCCTAAATGTGGCACAAACAACTATTTTTACGGCTGTATGTGGTTGGGACAAGATATGACACTTTAATTGTTACTAATTGATGCTTTTTCTTGGTAGTGCAAACAACTAGCTAGGGCAACTAGTAAATGAGCAGGGTAGCGAAATTGCCTCTCGTGCCTTACAGGTGGTTGCTTCAGGGCAGGGCTTGCAACACGTTGGCTGGCACAATGCGAACAGCTATGCTGTCGACCAGGCCAAAACTGTCAAGCTAGTAACAAATGAAGGCAAGCCCCTAATGAGGCAAGCCAGTAAGCAACCTGATTTTCAGCAGTATCGTGTAACCCAAAGTGCTTCCTGCTTTTGATGTCATCTACTGTGGGCTCAGCTTGCCTGAAAATAGTGTCAGTTAGTTCAGGTTTCCAAACACATGTGTGCTATGGGTTTGGGATCTTGGATTTGGGTCCTGGGTATTGTGCTCTTAATTTCACCTGTCCTGATTTGCACGGTGGGTTCCTGGGTCTGTTGCCAGATAGACCTGCTTTCATCTCTTAAAAACTCCCTTGACTTGTAGATTTTCTTTGTTGCTGGAGTGTTTTCTTTAGTACTTCAGCTTTCAGTGTGGGATACATGGTCAGAGCACGGTATCTGTTAGATCTCTAAAGCAAATCAATGCCCCTACCCTGGTGAATACAGCATTGAATTTATTGACAGGTGTCTCTGGCCTTTTTCTTTCAGCAGCGGGTGGGTGGGAAAGTCCATTGGCTGCGTAATCTTGATATCATAGAAAATGCTAAAATTCAAAGCTGTACAGACATCCTATTTAAGACTTGCAATGTGTGCGTGTGTGTAAGACTTGTTTCTCCAGTTACATGCAAGTTGGTTCAGCTGGAAGCAATGGGTAAAATTTTGCCCATGTGAGGTCTGTACTTTTTTCTAGGTGCCTCGTAAAAAGGCAAACAGAGATTTAGACAGGTGCCTTGCAGAACAGCTGCGTGACTCACAGCAAAACTCAGTGCAGTGAGAACATGCCAATTGAATTGCTTCCGGCACTGCGCTTGAACAAGCTGGTTGCTCCTTTTGTCTTCTCGATGAGCTTTGCAACATAATGTAAATGTTAATAATTGACTGCAGGCTTTATAATTAGGCATTATGAGGTAAATGGCTCTCCACCCAGAAAGGAGCTAAAAAAACATTATTATCAATATTGCACTTGAAGGCAAAAGGTACTTTTTCATTGTTGATTACATTTGTTGGTTTCTTACCAGTTTCCAGCTATAAAATATTAGTGACCTAAATGATGAGCTAGTTCTGAAGGTTGTATGAATTTCTAGGAAAACACTGGATGCTCATCATAGTTGAAATAAGCAAGTAGGGCCGGATTTTCCAAAGCACTTCTTGCTGATACAAACATACAGGTGAAGTAGCTAAATCCTTAGCACGGCTCAGCACCCAATTTTTTTGCCTTACTTTGTAACGTACCAGACAGCAATATTCACACCGCTGCTGAATCTCTCCACTGGCCTAGCTTTTACTGTCTGGTATTATTACATTTTGACATAAGGGATCTTGGCAACAATCAACTGTATTATCCATGGAAATTCACAGAATGCAATGAACATTCCTGAAATGCAGAAGTACCTGTACTTTAGGGTTTTCCTCCTTCTTTCATAGGAACTGAGAAAGTACGAGTGAGCATTTTTACTGAAAGGAGACCTCACAAGTTGTTGCTTTCCCACCAGTAAAACTTATGTATCTTTATTATGCAAACAGTTCCTGTTTATAATGAATAAGACTGCACTGCTGTATAAATGTTCAATTATAACTCATCTCCCATTCTTATGAAATAAAGCAGCCACTGCATGCACGTACGGCAGCCCTAGCACTGCCTTTGCTCTGTAACACTCCCCGCAGTCAAGCTGCACATGCACTGGAGCTCTGTTTGTTTCCTTGTTCTATCATAATCTGCTTAATGTCATATTAAGAAATGAATGAGTACATGTCTAGTAATGGTGGATTGCAAACATGCAATTCACCCTGCATACCAGGAGTGTCAAACCCACAAGCAAAACACAAGCGATACAAGCACAATAGGTGGCAAGTATGAGCCAGAGCCCTTTGCATTCAAAAGAGACTCCTCCTGGCTTGGTGTGGTTTTGGATCAAAACAAGGATATTATTCTGTGTAGCTGCAAAGAGAGAAGAGAAATGAAATGGATAAGGACAGGGATCTGCCGAGAAAGGCTATCCAGATGCAAAATGTGAAGTTGTGGATGCTGTACAAGAATCATTATATAATTTAAAAATTGTGTTGAAAGTGTAATTTATTTTTTTTTAGCTTGTTTTTACTGCTGGTAACTAAAATGATAACTCTAGTAAAAACAGCATTCTGGAAGAGGAATAGATTTATACCTTGCCCCAATGCTTGTTATTGTCAGCATGAGTACACTGTATTGTCCACAAGCAAAAACCATGTATATTAAAAGAGAGAATGTATTGCTAGACTCTGGCTGTGCCATGCAATAAATTGCTATGAACGATCTCTTTTGGTATTACTAGTGTACCAGACATTGCTCCGTAAGGTAGGAGAAAGGAGAATGAACTACTGCTATTGTAAACTGGTGTTGCTGCAGTGAAGTCAGTGCCTTCTGATCTTGAAGAGGGCACAGAGTGAGTACCAGATCTCCTGTGATCCTCACTGTGGTGTAAAATGTGTCCAGTTGATTTTTTACAAAAAAGGAATTTCAAAACTTTCCACTCTAAAAATTTCTCTCCAACAAAATTATGGATCTTGAGTAATACAGGACCTGTTTTGTCTGTACTCCCCTCCAGAAACATCAGGGTCCAGCAGGATGGAGGAGACCCTGTATCTGGTCCTCAGAGGATATTGACTGTCAGGAGAAGACCAAGCAGTACTGCAGAGAGGACTGTAACAGCCAGTGCAAGGATGTGCCCACATATGAGCTACACTGGTTTCTCTAGCAGCCCCTCTCAGCCGTACCTCCTGTGGTGCCCTATACTCAAATAGCTGCTGGGTGAGACCACCATACAGATGAGAAACCTGGTTGGTGCTGTCCTGGCCTTACCCTGACTGTTTCTTTGTTTCAGGTATGGAGACGAGAAGAGCAGAAGCCCTCTTCAATGACAGTAAGTGAGGGCTTTTTAAACCTGGAAAATCTCCTATTGTTTTAATTAACATTAATAGTCTCTGAGCACTTTTCCGGGCCCTTAAAAGCCTTTTCTCATCCTTCTGTCTAATTAATGTGATCTTGTATTTCACACAGATGAGACATGTGTTTAAAAATCCTGCTCAGTCATAAGAAAGCCTTTTTTTATGGCATACTCAGGAACAATGGCTTGAAAATAGCAGTGATTGTGTGTGTAAATCCCTTCTAGAAAAAGTCTACACCCACTGCAGAGTTCCCTGGTCAGTTTTTTTGCAGTGAGATGTTCCTTCTGTTAAAAATATCAGCAATTCCCCAAGAAAAGAGCAAACAATGAGAGAAGAGCAAGTGCTGAGGGCTCTATAGAAATCCCCAGCATTGGGCAGAGAGGAGACATGCAGATCCTGCTGCTTAAGCGGCAGGCTTATGCCTCCAGCAGTGCTGGTGTGGAAGGTGGAGGGTACATCTTAAATTTAAACCATGCCCTCTAAGAAACAGAGGACTTAGCCAGTGAGGGCTGAGCACTGTAATGTTGAGGACTCTTGTTTATTTACTAGCTGGATCCAGTTGCTGTTGGTACCAGTGAGAGCTTTCACACTGTGTCTGCTTAATTGTGTATTTGGACACGCAGAGATTAAGCCATGTTCCGACATGAAAGCTAAGACATTTCACATGACTCCTAGGTACATGTAGTAAAATTGAGTGAGCAAGGAGGACTTCTAATAAACAAAGGAACTTAATTGCTTGGGCTAGTTGACTGCTTTGATGTCAGGCACGGCAGCTAGCTGAAAGATCTACTATAATGTGCTAAAGGCAGGCGAGTCCTTATTACAGATTTGAGTGCATTTTATATTTGAGCAGATTATAGTTAGAAGCAATCTCTATTATAAATAGATTAAAACAGGCACTTTAATAGAACATTTCATCAAGTCTAATCCTGCCAGCACAGGGCAGACACTCTGTTCTCTGTCTCCCTGGTGTACGTATTAGATCTGCATCTTGGAGCAGCGACTGCAGAATCGTTTTCATATATGCTTGTCTTGGATGCTGTAGCATAACAATTCATCTCCACCTTCCTACCTGTTATTTTTCTATACACACATTAAATGATGGAATTTACACCTGAACACGTACCAGCATGTTGTTCAGCTGGTGCTTTAAGGATGGCAGCCTTGCGGAGATCTCTAACACAGCCTGCGAGTGAGAAGTGCTCCAAAAGCCAGTAGGATTTGGCACATGCAGAAGAGTTTGGAATAATGGCTTTCTGTGTGCTCTCAGAAATTGGTAATATGTCATTTTCTTTTGGGAATATGTCACTGGAAGGAAGGACTGACCATAAAGAAATGTACAGAATTTACATCAGCCTGTGATTACAATGAAAATGTTCTCAATTTTGGAATGGCTAGTAGCACAAAATTGTTCCTTATGGAAATATAAGTCAGTCTGATTGGTCTTCGCAAGGTATTACCGTAGGGATTAAGTTGAGGTAAGTTTGTTTTAGAGATGTTTTAAAGCTTTCAGAGAAGGATATCGGTTTGTTTGGAGATTTAATAGTCATAAAAAGTCATCTTTGCTTGCAAGTTGGATTTCTTATAACTCTGGAAAGGTTTGATTAGTTCCTTAGCAGCAGGCTGTCACGTAATGGAAGATTCAATAACATCACTTTTTGGGCCTGTTTTAGGTGCTGGTGTTTGGAGGCACTGATGGAACTGAGTTTTCTCCTGTGTTCTGAACATTGGCTGCTCATGTGGTCAACAGGATTGTGCAGTTTTAGGACCAGTAATTGAGGATTACCAATTAGTTTTCAGGAGGGAAACAGGCTAATGCAGACTGTTTTATCAGTTATGGTTTATTCTCCAGTTTTCCTTTCACATGGAAAGTTTTGGTCAAGTAGATTTAGATTTCACTGGTTTCCTTCATTGTGGTTTTAAATCTCAGAACAGGGCAGATTATCCACTGGGCACATGAGCTTCTCCACATTATATGACTTTTTGTTTGTTTTTTTCAAATGTATGAATAGCTTTCAATCTGCTGTGTTATTGCTGCTGCTTTTGACTATGAGGTACTGTTAACATAACCATGTGCAGATCCTAGCAGGAAGGGGCAGAGGTTACGCTCTGCGTGGCTCCAGTGTTACGCTTCTGAGGACTTCAAGGGCCCTGGGGCTGGCAGCTCTTCAGTGATGTACTACCGATTTCTGCTTCGTCTCCCTCTGCGTCACTGTCTGCCGGAGACAGGCAGTGCAATAGTTTGGATTGTTGTTGTCACTATGCAAGTAATTCTTAGCTCTGTCTCTTTTTCAATGAATTGGGATAGTCCTGTCTGAAAACTTTCCTAATGTCTAGCTGAAATCGAGGCCTGGATGAAAACTAGTGGGTCTTGGTGCAGGTAAGATGGATTTGATGATGTTTGGATGGGAGAAGACAGCTGAAGCAGCTCTGTCCATTAAGGAAATTTCTAAAGCTACGGGGGAGCTTCAGCTGCTCCTGAATATCCTGAGTGTAGTGGCTGAAACCACGGATATTTTCATTTCTCTCTGGGTTTGGAGGATATTGCTTTTTGTCATGGATGCACACCGTGCTGGAGGTATCCATGCCTTTGTTGTCTCTGGCTTGGATTAGTGTGGTGCTCTTTGTCTGAAGCGACTCTCCAGGTCCACTTGCAGACTGTGCAATGCGCCGTTGCTGGTTTCCAGGTGACATCTTGCTGGTGCAATATGTGTGCATGTGTGGTAATAAACCCATGGCTTAGATCATTCCCATCTTAGATTTTGCCTTGTTCATGTTTTAACCTAATGACAAATTACCTGGGACATTAAAACTGGCAATCACTGTATTTGGGAGTTGTCCTGGGTGCATGGTGAAGGTTTTGATTCCTGATTTGGGCTGCTCATACAGCTAAGCCTGCATGGTTGACCATCATGGCTTTCCATAATAGTTGTTCATTCAGGATTCTAACAGAATGGGTTGTGCATGAGGATCTCTGATCTGGGGGGCTGGTGGAAGGTATGTTTTCTTGTTGATTTTAATACTGTTAGAGAACCTAGGTGGTGTGTAGCTTTACATATGTTTTCCATAGCCATTGCCAGGCATATTTTCTAAACAGAAGAATAGCTCATGCACTCTTTCTCCTTTTTGACAGTCTGTGGGTTACGGCAAAATAGATCAGTCAAGTCAATGGCAAAATCATCATCATTGCGAATAGTCGGCGGATTGTCTTCTGCAGAGACCGGGGACTGGCCATGGCAAGCTAGTTTGCAGTACGGTAACATCCATCGCTGTGGTGCAACACTCATCAGCAATACGTGGCTTGTGTCTGCAGCTCACTGCTTCAGAGAGTAAGTTCCCATCTTGGACAGAATCTGCAGCAGAATGTGCCCCTTGTGTATCAAGTTGTGTGGCTTTCCAGATTTTTTCCATACCGCTGACTCTTTCCAGGGAACAGTTTTCTGCCTTAGAGGAGAAAAGTCAGGGGTAAGCAGACCCATCACTTGAATGTTTCAATCAGAAATTAAAGACTGACTCTTAGGAGCAGAACTGGCAATTGTATGAGTGCAAATCAACAGTCATTCGGCATATTGAGCAAAGAAGTGCAGAAAAGCTAATGTGACTGAAATGGCAGAGATTTGTTTCCTGTTGCACTAAGTGTTTCTAAAGGTGCTTCTTCATGTTACAGCCGGGTTGCTGCCACTGCAGGCTGCTACCAGGAGTTATAATTCCACATTCCTACCCTTCCATTCAGCCATGCGCTCCCAGCACTTCTTTGTTTCAGACGTGGCAATTGTGAAGCTGCAGGGCATGTAAGAGGAACAGCTGATTGAACAGATTACTAACATGCAAAAAGAGTAACTGAGATCAAGAGTCTTCAAGCAGAAGAGCTTTCTGATTTGATTACACCCTGTGTAATGGCTAGATCAGGGACAAGGAGCAGAGGAGGAGTATGAGACCATGGTTGAGAAGGGAATGCAGGATTGCCCTCCTCTAGCGGCAGCCCACAATTACGTGGGACACAGTGTTATGGAAATTGATGGATACCTTAAGAATCCAGTAGGGAGCTGGTTTGAAGGAGCTTTACAATAAAGGTGCTCACCAAGTTTAAAGTCCCAAAAGCTTATCTTTACAGCTAAATACTTACAGCACTCTTACCTTTTTCAGCTTGAGTCACCCTGAGAAATGGACTGCTACTTTTGGAGCTCTTTTGAAGCCACCAAGCTTGAAACGATCAATCAAGACTATTATTATTCATGAAAATTATCACTACCCAGAACATGATTATGATATTGCACTTGTGCAGCTCTCTAAACGAGTTGAGTTTACGAGTAGCATTCACCGCGTTTGCCTGCCTGAGCCATCTCAGATTTTTCCGTACAATATTCATGCTGTCATCACAGGCTGGGGAGCACTTACCAATGACGGTGAGTCCTGAGTCTACCAGGAGACCTGTCTGTTACATGAACAGTGGCTCTGGTCTGTTATTGAATTGATACCACTTCTGTAGCCCTATGTTAGATGGCAGCAAGCCTAATGCTTTGTCTGTAAGCAATAGGTTTGTTTAATCATAAGCAGCAGTTTCTTGTTCTGCCACTGAAGCAGAAAACGGGAAGAAAGTTGTTTTCTTTTTTCCAGCTTTTCCATTTCATATTGTAAATTCTTAAGATAGGTAGTCCAGCAGTGCATGTGTTTATATAGCACCTAAAAAAATATCCTCCCAGCCCTAGCCAGAAGGTACAAATAACTCCATGGGCTTTCAGGTAAGCTGAGTGAGCTGCTGTCTTACCCAAGCTCATACTCTTATCAGGCCATGCTAAGAGTAGATTGAGCAATGGCACCAAGATATCTTAATTTTGTGTCATCTGCCCAAATTGCTAAGTAATTTGTGTTCCATGGTATTATATGGAACGTGTAGAAAATACATGGGTTTACACTTAAGGCACTATATACCATGCACTTGTTACTTCTTCCTTAATGGTACAGTTCCAAAGTGAGCCTATGAGTATGTACATTTTCCTTAAGAGCCTAACCTAGACAGGTCAATGAGCAAAACCTCCACATGTCAAGCTGGTCTTCCATAAGAGAACATTAAATGCTCTTCCTGCAAAGTAATTCTGCTGTTAAATACCCAAACTATATTTTCCCTCAGGTCCAACTCCAAATGCTCTTCAGGAAGCAACAGTGAAACTTATCGACTCAAACACTTGCAACAGACAAGAAGTGTACGATGGAGACATAACACCCAGGATGTTGTGTGCTGGATACTTGGAAGGAGGAGTCGATGCTTGTCAGGTAACTGTAGCTGAAAACTAGAAAGGAAAACTATTTTAATGTTGACTCCAGTATCTGGTTGACCAAATCTTAACTGACAGTCCTTTAAATAGACTCCATTCAAACAGAAATTAAGTTGTAAAATGAAATAGCATTTAGTACACATCATTTAGCACATAAAACCCATACTAGGAGAGATAAGTTGGTATACTATTCAGAATTTAAACCTTTCATAGCATGAAATGAAATTCTTATTCTGTAACTCAGAAGAGCTGCTACAAGCCCATTTGCTTTTCATCGTTTCTTGTCTGTGAAATCTGACTACCAATTTGCTTGCAAAGTGATACGACATTGACAAAGATACTAAATGCTGAAATATTAAATATGAGCTAAAAATTAAATCTCTCAAGTAGCCAAGACCAGACATCCGTACAGTTGGGAAGGAAGAAGTTTAAGAACGTAGCAGTTAAATTGCCAGCAAAAATGCACGAACAGTCATTGAAATTAAATTCTGGACTGGATCACCTCATAACAGATCTGTTATGATATGATCTTTGGTTACAAACTTGGATCGGGGGAAGGAAAACTGAGGCAAAGATAACTACAAGGAAGCTGGGTGTAAATTGAATGGTAAGAATGCATGCATGGTACAGGTTTGCAAATGTGGCAAGGAAATGCTTATGTTCAAACAAAAATATTTCCATAATCATAACTTTTTAAAAGGTAATTTATATTGATGTTATTTGCAAAGAATGTACTCCTAAGTGCTGGTTCAAAACAGACCCTTTCCAGACTCCCTGCCCTACAGGTTTATGCCCAAAGAAAAACTCCTTGCAGAATAAGTCTGGGAGGCCCAATTTCTCTGTTCCTGTCTGGCTCGGCATTGAAGAGACCTGAACAGAAGGGTGCAACTGCTGTTTATTTCAGTAAAGCATTTTGGTGGAAGATAGGGAATTTAGTCTGTTGTGTGAGGATTGCCTCTTGGCCTCTAAGGTTTCCAGTTTAACAATTATTACCATGTCATGCTATTAACAGTATCTGAATACAGCCTTTGGAAGTGGCTAACATCTTAAGGAGCTACTGTCTGATTAGAATACCAAGTTTTTGAAATGTTATTGCTGCAAATGACTAAAAGAATTTGTTGAAAGGATAGTGGTCACTGTACAAAAGAAAAAAAAAAATTCTTGTTGGCTTAGATTGCTAGATTGCTGTATATATTTTTGTTTCCCTTCTTTTTACGAGGAGGAAGACAGGGCAGGTGGGAAAGAGTGTTTCACAAAACAGAAGAGAAGCTTTTTTTTTATATACTGTAAAACCACAGAGACAGGTCAGGATGTTCCATGGCAAACAGGAAAAAGCCACAGATTTCAGACTCAAGTTTCAGAAACAGCCTGGATTCTGCACACATGTCAGCTCTTGAAATACTGCTTCCTTTCTTCTCATATTGGACATGCCCTCCTGTCTACGGAGAGAATTATGTTTTCCCTTCTGATCAATTAAATCTTTTTTTTTTCTCTTTCTCTAGGGGGACTCTGGGGGACCACTGGTTACTCCAGACTCTAGACTGATGTGGTACCTTGTGGGAATAGTAAGCTGGGGAGACGAATGTGCCAAACCAAACAAACCTGGAGTTTACACACGAGTGACTTATTTCCGTGATTGGATTACCTCAAAAACTGGCATCTAATTCCAAAATCAAAAATGGATTTAACTACATAGACTACATGTAACTCATATTTGTATGTAACTCTGAAAGGTTATTTTTTTAGTATATATATATCCCTATGTAGTTTTGGTTGAAGCAACCTTTGCGTGCAGCAAGCATTATCTTTGCTGTCAGAGATCCTAACCCCTTCTTGAGTGTATACTAAACATATGAGATTGCCTGCCTCATCTTTGAGCCTTGAAACATTCTCACTTATCAGAAATTACAAACTGACGTCATTAAACTAACTTTTAAAAGCTACCATTTTACCTGCTTTATAAATACAAACATTTTCCAGGAAAAAAGATTTTTTTTTTCTTCAGCCATGGCCAAAGTCTGAAGCTGAACCTTCCTCCAGGGAAGCAAATGGTGTCACAGCTGTTTTTCTAGCAAAGCAAACTCTTGATTATTATTCTTGTTAGAGACTATCATCTGCATAGACTGCAGCCAAAACCCTGGATGTTCACCCTCCTTGGTGGCCTTGATAGCTAACAGTGGATCAGCCAAGTCTTTTGAGGGTAGGTTCTATCTAAGGAAGAAGAGGATTTCTCTGCTTGCAGTAAGTTGGAAAGAAAAAGAGAAATGCTTGATGATTCTTGATTCAATTCTTCTAAAGCATGTTTTTAACAGGAATTTTTTTGGTGGATTCTGTGAAGTTCAAACTACTTGAAAGTGCTATTGTGGAAGTACTTTATCACAATGCTGTGCTGCTACCTCTGTACCAGTTGCCTTCTAGATCTACTCTGTTCAACTCACAATATGCTTAAGATACAGAAGCAAAAGCTCTACCCAAATTTGGTTGTAGTAAGTGTGTCCCCATGAACAACCTCCCTGGAAGGAAACCCAGCATTTAAATTTCTGCTAAAGGAAACATAAATATTCACCACAAATAAACTGCAAGCTATCTTTTTTGTTCAAGAAATAGCGTGCTTTTCCAAGGGCATGCCAGCCAGTGGAAACCATCTCACTCCAGGGAGAGCACTTAGTGATACTGTCTTGCTTCACTGATGGATTCATCTCTGTCATGAAGAACATGATCCTGTCTTATGAGGCTGAAGCGTAATTTCATATTAAAGTACAGTCCCGACAAGAACTTCAGAGTAAATGCAATCCTTATACACCAATTAAGCACTTTTCCTACCTCTGTGCATGGCATCTCAAGGTTTGCTGGTATAAGAGGGTTCAGTAATGTGACTATTATTATCCCCTAGAGCCCAGGCCTTCAATATGAGGATCCAAAAAGTCACTCCAGTACTGTCTCCTGCGGTCTCTGAATGGCCACCAGACTGCTTAGGCTGTGAATGCGGGACTCACAGAAGTCTGTATGAGACACGAAAGAAGCTGCAAGCTCCACAGCTGAACCTACTACAGCTGAAAATTTCTCTGAAGCATCCTGCCTCCCCTTCTGCTCAGGACTGGGTCTCTCCTCAGCCTTCCTACTGTGCAAGCTCTCCAATAATCAGCATCCCTGGCAATGAGATGCTCAGCATTTCTTGAAAACTCACACTCAGAATTACAAGTCTACATATGGATGGAACAGCCTATGTTTAAGCCTCAGAGGGGAGGGGATTGTCTTATTATTAGGCTCTTTCCAGTCTTTCTACATATCTTTTGAATTTCAGTAAAAGACAAGATGCCTTATCTCAGAAAGAAATCTATTGATGGTTTTAGATTAGTTTTGTGTTTGAAACAGTAGTATCTGTGTTCTGATTTTCCATGTCCATTATAAAACGAAAAGGATCTTGGGACAGTTAGGAGGATGGTTAGATGCAGCAAATCTGTTTCCTTAATTTATTAATGAAGTTTGTAATTTATGCACTTTTGAGTTGCTGCTATTTTTCAACTAAGAATTTACTCTGGGCCCGGTTCAGTTACAAAATAGAAACTTCATGGATTTTTTTATTAGATTACCTGGAAACACTGTTTTCTTCTAGTATTCAAGTCCCTCTTTTTTGAAGGCATCTTTTGGAAAAAAATTACATTTATTTTTTTGTGCCTCTTTGAAGGTGAAAATCATGACAAGTGTCCTTCCCTATAATCAACTGGTGAATTGCAATTGAAAGTAAAGTGTAGTTCACTTTGATAAATAGCTACGACTTTGTTCTGCACTTAAATCTATCTTTTTACCTAGAAAATGGAGGGGCAACAATAGGGGAATGAGGCCCAGATTAGATACAACCACTATAAACTTGTTCCTACCTCACACTGCAAGTGACATGTATATATACTACCTTTAAAATGAGAAAGGCAGCCTTTATTTCAGATTTTCTCATGAGAGGCCAAACAGCCAAGAGGTATGTGGGAGAATGTCTATCTTACTCAGGGAGTCCTGAGCCAGCCAGATGCACTTTTCACAAATTTTTTAGCAAACTGTCTGGCCTGGGTTTGTCTTGTACTCCATGTCAGTGTTTTATTTATGAAGACTCTGTTTGTTTTCTGCCCTAGAATAAAACAAAGAGAATACTGTGTGACTAAAGAAAAGATTTTAGAAAGCCTTTTATTATGTTGATGTTAAGATTCAGCAAGGATTTAAATGATATAAAGGTAATATGTTTCATAACATTAAATGTATTTAAAAACAATTGCTCCTTTTTCATCCTTTCTTTGCTTAATAATAACCAAGCTAAATATTGTATATGATTCAAAATGGACTAATTTTCCTTATTTTGATATAAGACTATTGTAAAACTGCAGTTCGCTCTGTTCATTCCCCATCCTAGGGATTGTTTGTATTTAACAGTGGTTGGAGCTTTACAGATGTTTCAGCAAAGGTAAGGCGGGACATCTGCTTTTCTAAAATACTCAAAGGTGAATTTCAGTTAAGCTAGCACAATGCAAATTTTAGAATGGATCTGAAGCTTCATCCATTTTTTCCAAGGCCTTGCTTCTGGCCTCGGAAAAACTTATCCTTGCAATGAGGCATTCCAGGAAATTTGCTGTAGGGAGGTCTACACAGCTGATGTGCCAATTCTGCTGAGATTTCCCAGGCAGATTTAAAGCATCAAGAAACATGTTCCAAACTTCTGGTTATTCAAGTCGAGTTGTTTGAGGTTTGCCCAATGCTAATTTTCAGCCTGGAGCACAAGTAGGAAAGAAGAGATTGCACAAGGCCTCATCACGTGAGCAGGTCTGGTTGAATGACATCAGTCCGTCAATGGGATTCCTTACGTAAGTAAAGCTTGTAGAAGCTCCAATTCCATATCTGCTGCTCCTGTTAACAAATTAGAAGAGCTGAGAGCCAAAAGTTATTATTTAACCCAATGAATATTTATCTAGCAACTTGCAGCCTGTGTTTGAGGTGTGCGTGCATGGCAAAGGTGGCTCTTGCTTTTGGAAATGCATTAACACACATGTCAGCGTGGAATATGCTTAGGTAATTGGTGCCCTTGTTTATCTGGATCAGGATTTTAAGAACTGGTTAACTGGTTTCTAGGAAGGTGTCTGCTTGCTAGAGCAGCCTTAAGTGACAAGATCCTTTGGCCCACCCCACTGGGAAGCTGGAGTCCTTTTAAACATGCCAGCAAAGCACTCCCACACCACATGTTGTGCCAAAAAGAGGAGACAAAGCCTTGCCAGCCAGCACCTCACTCCTGCAAGAGCTGATAGCAAGCCATAGCCTGTGGCAGGATGTTTGGAAACCCATCGAAGGATGCTGATGTTGATTTATGGTCATTTCTGCACTGGCCTGTGTGCTAAACTGAACTGTGTTGGCTTTAGTACTTTCAAATAACAAGTTTTTAAGGAGAAAACTACATAGTTTTGTCTGATAATTTGTTTATAAACAAAATAAATCTGGGAAACAAATGCATCCCCCCCAAAATCCCTACTTTGGAGTCCCCATTAAGAATGTGAAACCATGCCTGGAAATCAGGAAATTAAAAGACTGGGGTGGGGGAAAAAGTGTAAGTGTCTGGGATTTTCCCAGGAGATGGAGAGGAGACTTGCAGCTATATCAGCTTCAGCCCCTTTTGAAAATGCTGGCTCTAAAGATGTATTCAATACGTGCTTGCAGAATGAATCTACAGTCGTGCACACAAGCTGAAGTCACAGGGATTTGGGGCTCCAAGCCCAGCGGTGGTGGTGTTCTGCCCACAGCCATGTACTGCTTATTCCTTCAGCGAGTCAGTAAACTGACAGCCTGGCTTTGTACCTTTTGCCAATCTCGAGAGCTATAGCCGACTTTAACGTGGTACAAATATAGAGTTGAGATTTCTTTTAAAATTAATTTATGTGACCAAATTCACTAAGATTTTAGCGTTTTATCTATTTTAAAAGAGGAGGCCACGGGGAAAAAAAGTCACATGGTTCCAGATGTTTCAAATTTTGCAGTCTTTGAAAATAAGAGAAAAACATGTATGGTTTTTGATTTGGTACCATCAACCTAGAGGGCACCTGAGCACACCTACCAATTGACCCATTTGGGAACTAGTTTCTTTGCCTTCTGGGGTAAATAGAATCTGTCCATTTTTATTTGCCAATTTATCTTGGAATATTTATGTTCGCAGTTTCACTAGTGGTTAGTCTTTGCTTAATTACCGCTGAATTGTTAGGTGAGAATTAACTGAATGTTGCTGTTTGTTTAGGCAAAAGGCTTTTCAGTATTCATTGTTACTATGCAAAATCTGTTTCATGTGAGATGACTGCATATCAAAGTGACTAGAATCTTAAAAAATGTAATAACCAGGGCAGTAAGATGGTACATAGCAGATATTTTTTTAAAATTATTTTTTCATAACGCATTTGATTGAAAATTTCTTAAAAATACGAACTGTTGATTTAACCTTAAAAAAAAAAAAAAAAGTTAAACGGGTTCATTTTTAAGGAAAGAAACCACAAAATTAAAGGTAAAAATCATTGATAAAACTAAAAATTAGCAAAGTGGAAAAACTGAAGCTTCTATTTTTTGCTGTCTTTAATTTTTTTTTTCCACTTTTTTTGTATGCTTTATAGCCGGTACTCCTTTTAACTCTATTCATCAGGTA